TTGAATTGGTTTCTTTTACTATCAAACAACGATTCCTATAAAAGTTTCCAAGGTAAAACTTTTCAATCAAAATGAGAGCGTGGGAGTGTCTAAATGTATTTCTGTGTACAATTCCATGTTTGGAAAATGTAAACTTTTTTTATAAAGCTCTCTAGTTGTTAATTATCATCTTGGATGATATCACCCCCTTCAGACAAACAACGAGGGCATCGGAAAAATTAGTCAGAAAAACTCACTTAAGTTGCTAGCTTAGGTACATGTATGCTACGAAAGCTTAATGGAATCAAATGAAACACAATTTAATTATATAATAAGGAATAAGGTTCTTTTTAAAACTTGTAAGGCATTTTTTTCAGTAAAAACTTTAAAATAACAATAAACAATATCTTACCTGTAAATACATGCTTCTCATGTAATCACCTAACATCGCTGCACTCTCTGAATGATGCATGAAATCAACCAATCTATCAATGATAGGTTTTCTCTTAATATTCTTGTTCTTTTTTCATATACAGGTATTGTTAAAATGAGTCACTCAATAAATTACTAAGATATACAATAAACAACACATACTTATCATATAACTCTGCACGTTGACAATGAAATGGCACCTTCAATCTTTTAACGATATTATTTGCACACCAGAACATGAGATAGTCGACTACGACAGTGTGGTACATGATCTGTGCCTTTTTATCGCTCAGATACAGCTTTTCTATGTTCTAAAAAAGAAGTATTTTTTAAAGTCCACGATACATCATCAATCCTGCTTGACTCCTTTCAAGAACATTTGTCATTGTATCATCTTACTTCATAAAATGCCCCATGAATGAATCTCATATTCCTATCCACACCTGCCATGTATGTGAAAGGCTTTAGAACTCTGCGTATTTTAGACCAATACAACGCAGGAATTGGCTCTTGTATATCCATGTCCCCTAAAATGTTCTGCATATCGATCTCAGGCAAACCCTGTGTTATGGCCAAAATACACAATGCCTGAAAAATGAAAAATGAAAATGTACTATATCTCATGAACCACAGAATTCAATAAAACCCTCACAATTCAGGTATCGTTTAAACAGATTTTACATAAACATAAATAATTGTTTTTAAATACTAAGATACAACCTTTTTTCTCAAATAAAGAAACCCAGATATTGTTAACACTGCATAAAACATTCACATATAATTGTGGGGAAATACTGAAAGAGACAAACCGAACAAGCTGAACCAACGTATATGTATCTTCTGCAAAGGTTACCAAACAAACCTTTTAAATCCTAAGCATATAAAGATTTCAAAAATTAGAAAATCATTTTTAATCGATTCAAAGGGGGACAAAGTACATGACCTTTTCCATTTTCCCACTGTCGTCATATGCGACTACATCTCTGAGTATGCCTTCTAGCAGCCCATCCACAGAGTCAGATAGCGACTGTATGTGCTGATCCAGTGTTCGGAAATCTCCAAATGTTCTTAATTGCTCTGCTAGAAGAGTCAACCACAGTGGATTTAATGAGCTAGGTTTAGACAATATTATGTCCATTTGGTCATTGTCCAGTTTCTGTGGGGTAAATGAAGAGCACACATTTGTTTTTATGACGTGTTATTATTTGGTATACTATGAAACGTTGTCAATAACATTATCCAAAACAAAAAGCTTCGTTTTCAACACGCAAAGAATCTATTACCTACCGAGTTTTACTTTTACCCAAACACTGTCTATAGATGATACAAAATTTCTTTTTTTCAATTAAGTATTTAAATATGCAGTTAAAAGATGGCATAAATCCAACCTTACCTTATTAAACATGATAAGGTACTGAGCGATGACTTCTTTGGCTTCTGACTTTTTCAACTGAGGAATATTTATGAGAAAACAAGTGTGTTCCTTCAGTCGGTGGAGTGTGGGTAAGTGATCGCTTGATGTTGAAACAATGGCTCGAACATTGCCGGGAAAACGAGGAGGCAACCAGCTTAAATGTTTGTATTGGTCTCGATCTGCTAACTATATAAATATAAAAGAATGCAAAACAAAATTAGAGTTCCATTGCTTCTTTTTAAATATATTGATACGAGATACTTAATACTAGATTTCCTGAGTGAAAACAATTATAAGTTATGTGAAGAGGAAAAATAAAACATTATAGGAAAATTTAGACTACATAACTTTTTGACAAAGAAATTATGTAAATGTATATTAATCGAAGTACAGACACTTGCAATCACTTACTTCGTTCATACCGTCCAAAACAATCAATATTTGGTTTTCTATTTGACGCAGTTTTGTGAACTCTTCCCTAATCACTTTCATGAAGAACTCTGTAACATCGTTGGTGTCTTCTGGAATATCTGAAATGAAATGAAAACATGGCGTTAATTATCAATTTTTAGTGTGCAAAAACTTTTTTTTAAGCCGTAATTGTTAGTTCTTTTCAACTGTTAGTTCACATCAATGAAAAAAAAGATCAATGACATCTTTGTTAGTGAATCCGTTAAATGCAACCTTAGAGAAAATCAGCTAAGCTCATTCTTTACCTATTTGTTCTCCTTTGATGAATTCTGCCAATCGCTTCAGTAAAATATTTCTCTGAACACTATTTTCAGAGATACCAGCAAAATGGTAAAATACGTTCAATCCCACCTAAAAGTTTAGGAGAAGAAAATAATGTTACCCTTTTGCTGCAAATTTGAAGTGTAAACATTTATTATTTACATCCACTGAATATTATCTATTATTTTTTAAGAAAACCACGGTCGTTTATCAATACGAAAACGCCGAAAAGCAAGCCACTTGTATAGATTTCTTCAGCAGTGCCAATCCATTAATGAAACATACAATGACGCATATATCAATAATACCGCTGCATTTCATTTCCGGAATTTTGCATAGCAATATCGACATTTTTTTAAAATTTCATTTCCGACAATTTTTATTTTCATTTCCGACATTTATTTTTTTTTCATTTCCGGAATTTTTGCAGGGTACCTCTCCGGCAATTTAGTGTGAACCAGGTAGGCGGAAATTGAATTATATCTGATTTCAAACTTAAACTGAACTTTTGAAAAGGAGATGAGCGAAAGTTCACAACACTTACAAGTGCCTTAGGGAAAGAAAAAAAAAGTTATTATTTTCGCTTCATTGATAGCTCAGCAAAACTCATTATTTAGATTTCAATGATTTATTCACGATTTATTCTTTAAAATGTTTAAATTTTAAATTTTTTGAAAATGCCGGAAATGAAAACTATACGATGTCGGAAATGAAAAATTGAAATACGTGTACAATATTTAAGGTACCCAATACCTATTTCATTTGATTACTTATATAGATAAAAACAATGAAATATCCTTTTTTGTTAGTATGGGAATTCACGTTGCAGCTATTAAAATAAAAATAAAATAAAAATTTTAAAAAAAAATTATCTACTTTATACATTACTAGCAAATAAAGAGGGCAATTTATTGTATAAACAAGGATAACACTAAAGTTTTATTCACGGGAACTCTCCTTGTTGAGAAGAATCGAAAAATAATCCTGCTTCGTGGTAGTATTTAACCATCTATGTTCATAATACGTTTAAACAATAGTATCCCTACTTCATTTCATAAATATATTTTATATACACAGAAGTAAGTTATTTATATGATTCTGAGCATTAAAAATTTATTGTAATATTTTATTTAAAGAAATTTACATGGTATAGGCAGAACGTGAATGAGAAGCAGAAACCAGAATTTGCATGACTTTGAAAAAGATTTCATGAAGTAATTATACACTACTCTTGATTGTTTTGATATAAAGCCTGTTTTGTGTTAAAATTTATTTGGTATTCTTTGTTTTTAATCATTTTATAATCTTAACGAAACATGTAAGAGACAAAAACATATTTAGCTTCACATATGCAGTAAAAAGAATATGGTAAATGCAGACATATTTCATTTGTTTGAACGAATTTAGCATTTAATTGGTGCAAACTTTATTTAGCATTCTTTCTTCCTTCTTCTAGAGAGAGAGAGAGAGAGAGAGAGAGAGAGAGAGAGAGCTTGAGCTTGAGCTTCTGACTCTTTTAAACACTGAAGATGCTTTAACGTCTGACTATTTACCAATATACTGTAGGATTATTACGTTCATTCAACTTTTTGACAAATGTTTTTAAACCAATCAAATAATAATGTACGATAATCTAAATAGAAATTAACAAAGATTATTTTCGCAATTTTAAGCAACCAACCATATTTTATACATATCGCTGGAGGTTTTACATATACGATTAAACATTTAATTACATATCAGAAGTAACCAAGTAAACAATAATACTGAGGCCTACGATAAATGTTTAACAAAGTCCTTGCTGTAGATAAATTGAATATGAAAGGTACTGGCAAAAAAATATGTGATGTACTTTGAAAAATAAAAACAGACGTATAGTTTTACACACTGTATGATGATCTGTAATAGAACATTTTGTCGTTATTCTATGGATTTACATTATTTGTCTGTCGATAGATAGATATGCATTTTTTTTCATTGCTGACCCCCCCCCCCCCTTTCTTTTAAAAATAACTTTCACAGTTACCTAGGTAAATTTTGTACTGTTGTAAGAAGAACAAAAAATATTAAGAAAATCATTTTGTACATGTGTATGTGTGTATATGTTTATATATTTATAAATATCAAGTTTGCTTTGTACACTTGTGAAAGCTAATAAAAAAAAAGTAACCTGAAGTATGACTGTAAGTAAACAATTAAATAAATATACTGAGGCCTACAATAAATGTTTATTATCATGTATATTTATTCTTGTGTAAAATTCTCACACTTTTTTATAGGTCAATGCCCTATGCATTGATTGTAATTAATTTATCGTCTATATAATAATACTGCCTCAAACTTCCTAACATCGCGAACTTTTCGGGCCCGAGAAGATGCGATTGTGATTTTTGATCGGGATCGAGTTTCGTAAGGGAAATATTCGCGTGAGTACTCTGAGCAGTAAAGATTTTGTTCTTTTGGAGGGAAAACCTTTTTGTCAGTAACATGTCATTATTGTATTCTGAGGTATTTAAAGAGTTTTATAATTTGTTCATTCGAGTAGAGGTTAAAAAAAGGAATAAGTCAATATGAGGATACAGAACAGCAGAAGGGACCCAATATAGCCAATAGGGGCTAAGTTTGGCTAGAGTGAAAATAAGCCTTTGTATGGATTTTTTGTTATTTCTAAAAGTTTTCCATTCAATTTCTGATCAGTTTCACGTGTACAGTATATTTAATAATTTAGCTCACACAGAACAAAGACATGACCTTTTCTTATAGAAATTGCCCATTGCATAGGGACATTGTCGCCGAAAACTCCTCGCATTTTTGTGATCATCTACCCAAAAACTTCTTGGTTAATTTCAACCAAAACTGACACAGTTTGTGTATCCTTGTGTAAAGGAAATTTCAGTTTGGATGAGGTGAATGAAAATTTATTCAAATAAAGAAGTCGAAGTATGTAAATAAAGTTATTGAGAAACAGACAGATAGGCAGATGGACGGTGGACAACGGATGATCAGAAAAGCTTACGAGCTCAATGAGCTTAAAAAGATTATGAACATTTTGCTTTACAAAACCAGCATTCTTTGTAAAATTGATGTTTCTTAATTTATGTGTTTACACATTCCCTGATCTGTTAACCATTCTCTATTTCAGAAGACTAATAACCTATTCTAAAAGATGGATAAGACATGCAGAAATTCTTTCATCATATTATACGCTGCTGTAAAGTGGCTACTAGAAGTAGTGGATCTAGGGCTGGATTGGGACTTTTACATTGAAGTACAACACACAGATCAACAAAGTATCATCCGTGCAGTAAAGCTAAAGTGGGCAATTTTGGGATTTGCAATCTTTGGTACAGTCATGTTCTTTTCCACTTTAATTGCATTTTGCATAAAAATTTACAAAAAGAGGAAACAAAAAAATTTGAGCAAATCCTACCAAGATGTTAAGAAAGCTGTCTCCATCATGTCTCTCATATGTACCTGGTTTGAGGATTTCCCTCAAATAGTGCTAGCTGTTATTGTAGCAGTGAAATCAACTGAGCTGATCTCAATAATACAGCTGGTAAAAGCCTGGTATGCCTTAGCAGAAGCAACGTTGCAAGCTACCATAATATTCATAGAACTCAGACTGTGTTGCCTTAAGAAGCCAGACTATTGGAAACGAGTGTTGTTGATTTTGGAGCTTATTGGCATTACCCTGATATTTCTGGTCAGTATATTTTTGTTAATAGAGCTTTACCAAGACAACTTTAAAGAGATTTATCAACTGGAAAATGCTGCCATGAATTCAACTAGCAAAGTAAACTTCACAACTTGGAGCACTCCAATTAATTCAACCTGATGTCTTTGCAATGCATGGACTAATCATTAACATGGAATGGTCAATTCTCAAATCAAACACTTCCCTGTGGATTCATCTGTAAATAATTTTTCATCATGTCATATACAAATAATATATACATGTATGTATTAAAACGCAGACTTTTTCAATACATCAAGTTTAATTATGTGGGGGTGGGGGGTTGTTTTTGTTTTGTTTATACTTTATTGTATATAGTAAGTTCAGAATTTTTAAAGTTAACACCCATTTCCAAAGACTATGGGTCACATCTGCATGCAGGTTAATATCATGTAAGAATTAAGTGATCATCACAGTTATATATAATGAGATTTCCTGTTTTTTGATGCATTTCAAGTTGTTGCTTTTTACAGATATGATGACTACATTATTCTTTGTGTCAAATACTACTAACACAGATAGTTAAATTTCCATTTTTTTTCCCATCAAGTTGTGTGCACAGTCATTTAAAAAGAAAACTGAAAGTTCTGATTATGGATGTTTATAAATATTTTTTGAGCCAAAAAAGCACATTTTGGTTTGAATTTTTCAACTTGCATGATTATGAGAAGGAGATAAATGCATGTTTTGTTAGCTTTTGTGTTTTCCTTTCATTTTTCAACCTGGTTGTATGATCTGTTTAATGTAAATAATTTTTTTTTCATTGATGAAACAATGATAGAAAATTGAAGAAAAATATTGTAAGATAAAACTGATGTTGTTTACATGCTTGTTTGACTTTTTTTGTTGTCATGTATTTCAACAATAAAATGCTTTCTTTGTTGTGTTAAATGTATAAATGATTCATACAGACATGAAACTGTTGACCTTTAACATGCTTATAACTCAATCTTCTTCCATTTTATGAAAAACAGAGCCTGGAGGGCTTTAAAAATGTGGATCAAGCTAGTAAATGACAGCAATATCCAGGATTTCATAAGAAATAAACAGAAAAATTGTAATGTAGGTGTATACATTTTAACCAGAAAACTGGCCCAGTCAGGGAGGGCTTTGCTAAAGGCTATGATATACATTCAAGAATACATACATACAAACAGACAAAGTAATAAGACCCATAAATTCATAAAGCCTTTCTCTGATACTGTAAAGTTCTTCTGGGTAAAATTTGAAAATGTTACGTTGAAAACTGAGTTACTGAGTCATATGTGTCAAAGATACAAATTCAAACATACATACTGACAGATGGACTAAGTGATAAAACTTATGCAAGTGTATATAATGTGCATGTGTTTATATCATGAATAGTTTCTTAAAATTGAACTAACACAAAGAATCGTAAGGTCAAGGCCATAGAGAAGCTCAAGGTTAAAAAATTTTGATGCAGTTGAATAGCTTTCATCAATATTTATCAGCATGAAATATCTTGCATTGTTTCTTGAAAATTGAGCTAAACACAAATTTAAGAAAGCGAGGTCAAGTTTACAGAAAAGGTGAAAAAAAATGTTGATACTTAGTGCATTATGAAAATTTGATTGGACACACCATTGCAGTTATGAGACTACATCTTTCAAAAAATACAGATTCAATGCTTATATTTACATTTTTGAACTTGCCTTGACTACAAATGTGATCTGTATTATCCATTGTGTATGTTACAATTAATAGAGGAGCCATTGCAACAGCTTCAATGTGAGTGTAAACTTTGATTTTCATTTATGACATTGCACTTGCACAGCGTTCAACATTTGTGGAATCGAAATAAAATGCATATGCATACTTTTCGTCTTTAACTTTTGATCTCCCCATCTGTGTTTTGATGTTTTGAATGCCATATCTTTCCACACACTTTATAAGCAAAATTAGTGTAGAATGTAAATACAGCTGAATAACTCTCACCATTATGTATCAGCATACAAGGTTTGATAAAATATCTTCAATAGTGTTTTGATACTAAGTTTAACACAAAATCACGGACAGACAGACAGACAGAAAGGCATACATGACAAACACTATATGCCCCAGCCATATTCATGGCAGGGTATCAGAATGCTTTAGAAGTAGCTTAGGAGTACCAGTATATGAAGTTTGATGTCTGTTAAGCAAAGGGTGTAACAAATTTTGAGCTGAAAACATCTGGTCTACTGACCAACCAACAAACAGATGAAAACCATTGTGTCCCCTTTAGTCACAGGGGAGAAAGAAAGTATGTTTTAAAATTACCTTCAAAGCTTTTTTGACTAGCTTTGCCAGTAAAGATGTTTTTCCTTGCCCTACTGCTCCAGACAAGCAAACCATCAAATTATCGCCATCCTCAGATTTCCAGAATTCAGGGTCCCCTGTGCATTTTCAAATATAAATATCAAATAACTTTGAACCAAATTTTTTTAATACCATTTTTTTCTAATTCTAAAAATTAACCAATATATTGACATTTACAGATATGTAGCACACTGGTTTGGAAAAACTGGAACCGACAACCATCCCAATTTTTCAGACCAGTGAGCTACACATGTACAGATCTGGAACTATAATAACAGGCCGATGGGTCACAACACTCACCTGAAGCATCTTACCAGTACATGTACTGTATTTTGAAAGACTTGTTTCCTCTATATCTCTATGAAAAATTTTGATCCCATTATACAGCCCCACCCTAACTACTTTGACCATGATTTAAACCAATTTAAATCTGCACTACCTGAGGATGCTTGCATATTAATATGATTATAATCATACCCTGGTGTTCTTGAGAAGAAGATTTTTAAAGATTTATACCTATAAATTCCAGTGCAAAAATTTCATCCTCCTATTAAAGCCCCATCATACCCCAGGTCAGGGACATGATTTGAGACATTATTTGAACAAAATTAAATCTGCACCACATGATGTACTTTGCCTGCATACTATCATCTCTTAGTAGACATAGCCAAGCTGTTCTTAAGTGGAAGATATTTATGCCCATTTCCATTACCTGTGGATGCTTCCATACTCAGATTAATAATCCTGGCCCTTTTGGTCTTGAGAAGAATTTTTTAATGACCCCCCCCCCCCCCCCCCCAATATATTTCTATGCAAAACATTGATTCCCTGTCGTGACCCCATATCTTAATCTAAGCTAGGATCATGGTTTGAACACACTTGAATCAACCATATCACGAAGCTTTTATATGAGTTTTGCCTTTTCTAGCCCAGTGGTTCTTGTGAAGAAGATTTTTACATGATATCATCATATTTTGTCTATTTCTTAATCATCCCCCTTGAAAGAGGGCAGGTCTTTTCTTTTGGAGAAACTTAAACCCCCCTTTACCCAAGATTGTTTTTGTGGCAAGTTAGGTTGAAATTGGTCTAGTGGTTCTGAAGTGAAAAGTTTACAGACCAACACACAGCAGACAGACAGCTGCGTGAAACTCTTTAAAATAAAAGTGACATCATGGAAACCTCTTTCATTAATGTTAAAAAAAAAAAGAATTAAGTGGTAAGAATATTTAAATTCTGTATATTAAAATGATTTTATTTTGAGGGGGGGGGGGGGGGGGGGGGATTTCATTCTGCAAAATATCATTATATTAATGTACAGTGCACACTTTTTGTGATTTTTGCCACAGGAAAATTTAAGAAAATATTAAAGATATGAATTCTAAAATTAATATTTTGATTCACAATGTTTTGGTGGATAGTTCTTCAAACAACCACAAAAATATTTTTCTTTCTTTACTGCTCAATTTTTATCTCATTCTTTTGTACATACATGTATAACAATCCATACTTACGAACAAATGCTGTTTGTTCCCCTACAATTTAAAATATACTTAAAAATGAATCCTTTCTGTGCCAAATAATAACAATGTCAAGATATAATTATAGATCCAATTTTTCTTGAGAGGAAAAAAAAATTAAAAAGAGGACAAAATATAAGAAGAAAGCCTAAACCAAGCCTAAGTCTTATTAAGCTGTTGTTTTTAATTACCTTCTATTTTGTAATCAATGGGATCCTTGCCTTTAGCATATGCCAACAATTTATCTATCAATTCATCCTGTCCAATAACAAAATGGGCTTTCCTCTCCATAAATTGTATTTGTTCTTGGTGTTCTAAAGCTTTTATCAACAGAAGATTAAAGAAAATGAATTTCTTTCACAAATATTTACATGTATTCATCATAAAATATTTCAACAGTTTTTTAAACAATAAAATCAAATATTTGCCTCTAAATATATAATCATTAAAAAAAGTTTTTTTAAAGTGATTAAATCACAATGATTGATCATTTGAATACAAATTAATGAGGCAAAAATACTGTTTGATAATTCATTATTCAATTTGTCTTTTTTGCCAAAAAGAAAATGCATGGTCTTTCCAATTTTACCTTTGTCATTTTCTACTTTTGTTGTGTCTGGATAAAATTGTGAAATTCTTGATTTGAAAAATGTCAATGTTTTCTCTGCAAATGTGTCTAGACCCTCCAGTATCACCTGAAGTTATAAATTCGACAAAAACATGTTTTAGGTTACCATGCAGTAAATGTTCCGCAAAAATTTTTGATTTTAAAAATCAAAAATATCAATTACATGTATTCTAGTATGTTGATAAAATTATTTTGAATAGTTTAAAGTGATCATTTTTGTCATTTCAATTCTACACATACAGTCAAACCTTTTCATCTCAAATTCAATTGGATGAGGAAAATACTTGAGATATCAAAGGATTCAAGATAAGGAGTTTAAGACAAAGAGAAAAACTGGTAGGGACTTCCAACACACTTTAAATAGCAATACATGATATTGATGTTGAAATAACTGCATAGATGTCTCACCATGATAGTTTCAAATCTCATTATGCTCATCAAAATAACATACAGTAGTTCAATCCCAGGTTGAAATAATAAACTATATACTGTATAGCATAATTAGTCAATATCAAAACAGTTAAGAAAACTTACTCTCTTTCTTCCTGCTTTCTCTGACATTCCACTATATTTACAGTCATAATTAAAAACCTGATTTGGAAATTTTATTTTGAGCTGTTTTTTCAACTCCTGAAAAATAAAAGAATGAAAAATGTAGACAGGTAGAAAAAATAATATCAGCTGTAGGATTAACTATAGTTTTCTTCAAGGGACGGACACCCTTTTAACCTGGGGGGGAGGGAGATGGGGGTGGGGGGGGTGGGGGGATAATCAAAGCATACATCAAGTATCCACGGATGCTTCACATTATTT